CCCCTTACTCCGATGGTAAACAATCAAAATAACATGCAAACTCCCCTCCGTTTCTCCAGACCCAGATCTTAGAAGGGGAACCATTGCCTCTAATGGTGATAATAACCCTACTACTACCGGACCACCTTCCCACTTCTTGGATTGAAATGGTACTGGAGGGAGCATCCATTCCACTGACTCTCTTAATAGGGTCCTTATTAATCACTGTGGTAATCCATAACCCTCATTACTTAGCCAAGGTAGTCATTATATGCCTCAATCATGCAATGTTGAACTATGGGCACCAACTATGGCTGGCAACCTTGATACAAGCTGAGGTGGCACTCAGCTAACAACAATGACACCAACCCAGCTGAGTGCCCTGATGGATTAGATCAACAACTCCCTTCCCTTCTTCCCCTTAGTAACACCAGGGGAGGAGATTGTAAGCCCCACATTCTCCCAATGGACACCAACATGGACCATGACCCCACCATCTAGAGAAACCCAAATAGCAGGATCAAAAAATGTCCACGAGCACCTACAAGCCTCCAACACAGAGCTGGAGGCCCAGATTGCAAAGTTGGGAGTACCAAAACAAAGGCAATGCTCCTACAACAAGAGGAGTTAATAGAGTTCAAAAGACCTGGGGAGAAATACTTATCGCAATATGCCCAAAGAGTATGAAATTGTGCGGGGTAAGCCTAAGATTAGCCTCAAATCCAAACTCAGGAGACTCAGCTATAAGACTAAGCCCAGTTCTGATACAGGAAAACAAACAAGCCAGCTCTTTACAAGTGAACTTGGAGGACAATCCTGTGAAAGGGAAGGCTAAATGCCTGAAAAGGACGTCCTCACCACACAACAAGTTGTTAATGAATTTCTTCATTTGGAATGCTAGGGGTGCCAACAGTAGTGAGTTTAGGAGGCACTGAGCTGAGATGGTCAAAATGCACAAGCCTGCTATGCTAGTCCTCCTAGAAACTAGGATGACTAAGCACAAACACCTGATTCATGAACTGGAATTCTCTGGGCAAATCCAAAGCCCAGCTATTGGCCTGTCTGGAGGCATAGTCATCATGTGGAAGGATGATCTGCTCAAAATTGATAAAGTTTTCACCACATCCCAGGGCATTAATATCATGGTCAAGGTAATCCAATCTTTCAACTCTTAGCTTTTCACTATTTTTTATGCTAGCAACACTTATGCACTTAGAAGAAACCTCTAGTAGCAGCTCAGAACTATACCTGATACCTATCATGGAAGCTAGCTAGTAGGGGGACTTCAATGAAGTCCTGAGAGCTAGAGACAAGTATGGGGGAAATTGTATCTCTGCTCCTCGGGCTAATATCTTCTAGCAATGCATAAATCAATGTAAGCTGATTGATCTTGGTTTCAAAGGTAGCAAATTTACCAGGACTAATATGAGATATAGGAATAGAAGTCAGTTAATCCTGGAAAGACTATACATATGTCTTGCTAATGAGGATTGGATCCAAGAATTCCCTTCTAGTATAATTATCCACCTTCTTAGAACTCACTCTGATCACGACCCTATGCTAATCAATCTTGGTTCAGGTCCAGCAGCCTCTCTAAACCATTTAGATTTGAGCCTATATTGTGCAGCCACCCCTCCATCACCAATGTGGTGTAGCAGGCCTATGAGAGTAACTGTAACCTACTTGAGGGAACTATCAAATTCCAAGACCAAGTTACTACTTGGAACAAGATAGATAACATCTTCCATAAGAAGAAACATCTTCTAGCTAGGCTAGGAGGTATCCAGAAATCCAATGCATATCCCTTCAACCCTTACCTTCAACATCTAGAGTGTCAACTCCTAGAAAACTATTCAGTCATTCTGAGAAGTGAAGAGGAATTCTGGAAAATTAAATCTAGGATAAACTGGCTAATGGAGGAAGATGCTAACACGAAGTTCCTCCACATCTCCACTCTCAATAGGAGAAGAAGGAATAGGATTCTGTCCCTCCACAATGAGGCAGAGGATTGGATAGATGACCATAAGGGAATTGATGATGCCATATTCCAGTTCTATTTATCCCTATTCATCACTGACCATCAATCTTCTACCAAGAGTAGAGATACCACCCCTTACGACTCTCACACCCTTTTCACATACGGATCAGAACATTCTTAGTGCTCCTTTGAGGAAT